CGAAGCGGTTTGGTCTCCACTGGGTCAACTACGAGACGATGGAGCGCATGCCCAAGGCGTCGGCTCACGTGTACGGCGCCATCATCCGCGCCAACGCGCTTGTCGTTGAGGATGAAGACGAGAAGGCTTTCGACGCGACGCCTCCTGCTGCGGCACATTAGTGTCACTCCAAAACTGCTAAAAATGTTCTGGTTCAGAAACGTCGTTATCGAATCGATGGAACGCACGCATGCCACGCTGCCACGTCACAATGACCACATGTCGGTCGGCAAAACACCAAGTTTGGATTATGATGGAGCATGGCTGCTGATAACATCAGAACATCACGGGTCACAAACACTGCATGACTCTACACCGTCGACCGCGGCATTCGTTGTGACAGCGGTCATAGGTGCCTTCGCTGAAGTGCTGGGGAAGCGACAGTTTACGCAGCATGATCATGACCAACAACGTGCTCGCAAACGGAATCATTCTATGCCTTGGCCTTCGACAAGACCTCGGAACCTCCCACCTCGCCATTGAACCTATCAAAAAATGACATCGCTTTACTACGACACCGACACCCTCCTACATAGAGTTTGCCGTTCGTGTAGGGTACATCCCTCTTCCATGCCGAGCAAGCTAAGCTTTCGCTTGTTGCAACCCCAATAGAACTAAGAGCAGGCGTCCGTCATCAGCGATGGATCAGCTTCTCCAGGATCGGAACTTGAAGTTGGGCGTCGTGTCCACATCACCATCTGGGTGCCAGAAATGTATTTAATTACATACAAACCGCATGTTACAATAAACACTACATTTAAAAAGTGGGTTGGCTCCTAACATCGTCGAGCAACCCACGACTCACTTTGCCTTTTTCTGGTTCAAACCAACATGCCCACGCTTCAATTCCCTATAGGCTTTGTCTGGGGCGCCGCCACCGCCGCGTACCAGGTCGAAGGCGCCGCCGACGAAGGCGGCCGCGGCCTCAGCATCTGGGATGCCTTCTCCAAGACGCCCGGCAAAACTCTCAACGGCGACACCGGCGACAAGGCGGTGGACCACTACCACCTCTACAAGGAAGACGTCCAGCTCATGGCCAACATGGGCCTGAAGCACTACCGCTTCTCTATCTCGTGGCCGCGTATCCTCCCGACGGGCCGCACGGACCATATCAACGAGGAAGGCATTGCGTTCTACAACAACCTCATTGACGAGCTCTTGGCGCATGGCATCACTCCGATCGTGACATTGTACCACTGGGACCTCCCGCTGGCGCTGCAGACCGAGTTTGACGGTCTCCTCGGCGGTCAGCCGGTGATTGATGCGTTCACAGCGTACGCGCGTCTCTGCTTTGAGCGGTTTGGCGACCGCGTCAAGCAGTGGATCACGATCAACGAACCGTGGGTCATCTCTCTCTTGGGCTTTGGCATTGGTGTGCTAGCACCTGGTCGCAAGCACAACGGCAAGACTGAGCCGTACATTGCTGGTGCGCCTTTGCCGTTGTCTTTTGCATTGTATCAATCTTTCAAGTGTAGGGCACAACCTGCTTCTCTGGCACGCACACGCCGTCAACGTCTACCGCACCGAGTTCCAAGAGACGCAAAATGGTCAGATTGGTATGACCTTCAACTGCGACTGGCGCGCACCCAAGCCGACGGAGAATCCCGTCGAGCAGGCACAGAACGCCGACGCTGCCGAGCGCGCCGTGCTCTTTGACCTTGGCTGGTTTGCGGACCCGATCTACTTTGGCGACTACCCCGAGGTCATGAAGACGCGCCTTGGCGACCGCCTGCCGCGCTTCACGCCCGAAGAGTCGGCGCTCCTCAAGGGCAGCAATGACTTTTTTGGTTTGAACCACTACAGCACAGCGTACGTCGAGCCCTCGGACGCGTTCCTTGCCAACGAGGTCTGCGGCTCCGACGGCATCATTTTTGATGACGCCGGCGTCAAGATGTCGGCGGACGATGCGTGGCCGCGCACCGATGTGGGCTGGAACGTGGTTCCCTGGGGCTTTCGCAAGCTCTTGGTACTACCGCTCCGCTTCTCGACAAGTAAAAACTCAACGGTCATTTGTAGGTATGGATCCAAGCCCGGTATGCGCCGGCTGGCGGCATCATCGTCACCGAGAACGGGTGCGCCGTCGCCGACGACGATCAAGCCGCCGCGGCCAACGACGTCTTCCGCGTCAACTACTACCGCGGCTACATTGCCGAGATGCACAAGGCCATCACCGAGTGCAACGTCGACGTCCGTGGGTACTATGCGTGGTCGTTCATCGACAACTACGAGTGGGCGTGCGGCTACAGCAAGCGGTTCGGTCTCCACTGGGTCAACTATGAGACAATGAAGCGCATGCCCAAGGCGTCGGCTCACGTGTACGGTGCCATCCTCCGCGCCAACGCACTTGTCGTCGAGGATAAAGACGAGAAGGCTTTCGACGCGACACCCCCTGCTGCGGCGCATTAGTGTGCTGCGATTGTGTTTTGTATAACGTCCATCATGCCCTCGAGCGATCAACGATCAACGTCGGACTGGTCTCCATAAGTTCTGATGCACTCTGAGTCTCAAAGAGGAGATCGTTCGTGCCACGTTAGTTCCGTATGAAACATAGACGCGTTGGGACGTCAGAGGACGCAATCCTGTTGGGACTTACGTGGTGTGTGGGAGCAGCGTGCCCAAATCACAATGCCATTCGGCCTCGTGCGTACGTTCTGCTGCGCGGGAAAGACGCGTGCGATGAAACTACAACCCCGGCAGTTCTGGTCGAGCAGCCGCCAGAACCAGGCAATGGATCTGCAAACGTCGTGGCGTGAGCTACTTCTTGCCGAATCCAACCCGCTTTGGGCAAGACGACCGCTTGGCCACCCCGTGCTACTGATGACTAACTGGTCTTCTGTTTGACTAGCTGGTCACCTTTTCTGACGAACTACGCCGTCGTTGTCGTACTGACCGGGTCGTCGCTCTTCTGCAACGCCGACGGTGATGCTTTCTGGGTGCACGAGCACCGGCGAACGATTGTTTGTTCTGCAACTTGAACTTGGACTTGCCGAGCGATCCGCCACGACACAGCCATTACGGCCTCGGCACCTACCGACGCCTTGCCCGCCGTCGCCACGTCATCAGCAGCATCCTGCCACGCCCCAGAGAGCTTTGCCTCGAAGCAAACTCTCGCTCGAGCCCGCTTCGTCTTCAACGACGTACGAGTAGCAACGTCGTCGGCAGCATCTGCGCTCGTCCAACGCAAGCGTCCGTCGGAATCGGCCTCGTTGAAGTTGGTCTCGCGACAGCGTCTTTTTGCCCACGTCCAACCCAGCAGCTGGTTGTCCCAGCGGCCATTTTTTTACTTGCATACAAATACCAAGTTGGCATAAAACATTGGTATTGTATTGTGTTGGCCGGTGAAAATCCTGCCACGCCAGATCGACCTCAGTTTGCCTTTTGCCTCGTACCAAACACTACCAAGCACCATGACCACGCTGCAATTCCCGGAAGGCTTCATGTGGGGCACCGCCACGGCCTCGTACCAGATCGAAGGCGCCGCTGACGAAGGCGGTCGCGGCCTCAGCATCTGGGACGCCTTCTCCAAGACGCCCGGCAAGGTCCTCCAAGGCCACACTGGCGACAAGGCGGTGGACCACTACCACCTCTACAAGGAAGACGTCCAACTCATGGCCAACATGGGCCTGAAGCACTACCGCCTCTCCATCTCGTGGCCGCGTATCCTCCCGACGGGCCGCACGGACCATATCAACGAAGAAGGCATTGCGTTCTACAACAACCTCATTGACGAGCTCTTGGCGCATGGCATCCAGCCCATTGCGACGCTGTACCACTGGGACCTCCCGCTGGCGCTGCAGACCGAGTTCGACGGCCTCCTTGGCGGCAAGGTGCTCATCGATGCGTTCACGGCGTACGCGCGCCTCTGTTTCGAGCGGTTTGGCGACCGCGTCAAGCAGTGGCTGACGCTCAACGAGCCGTGGTGCTCGACGATGTTGGGTCACGGCTCGGGCGACATGGCGCCCGGTCGCAAGCACAAGTGCAAGACCGAAGTGTACACGGCAGGTACTTCGCCCGTTCTTCTTCTCAATTGGGATCCGCATGCCATAGTATGTAGGCCACAACCTCCTCTTGTGCCACGCGCACGCCGTCAACGTCTACCGCACCGAGTTCCAGGAGACGCAAGGCGGCCAGATTGCGATCACGCTCAACTGCGACTGGCGCGAGCCCAAGCCGTCGGACGACCCTGTCGAGCAGGCGCAGAACGCCGACGCCGCCGAACGCCACCTCCTCTTTGACCTTGGCTGGTTTGCGGACCCCGTCTACTTTGGCGACTACCCCGAGGTCATGAAGACGCGCCTTGGCGACCGCCTCCCGCGCTTCACGCCCGAAGAGTCGGCGCTCCTCAAGGGCTCGAGTGATTTCTTTGGCTTGAACCACTACGGCACGGCGTACGTCGAGCCCTCGGACGCCTACCTCGCCAACGAGCCGTGTGGCCACGAAGGCGTCATCTGGGAGGATGTGGGCACCAAGCAGACCTCGGACGACGCGTGGCTGCGCACGGACATGGGCTGGAACGCCGTGCCGTGGGGCTTCCGCAAGCTGCTCATGTGGATCCAGGCCCGGTACGCGCCGGTGGGTGGCATCATCGTCACTGAGAACGGCTGCGCGGTCGCCGACGACGACCAGGCGGTCGCGGCCAAGGACTACTTCCGCGTCAACTTTTACCGCGGGTACCTCGCCGAGATGCACAAGGCCATCACCGAATTCAACGTCGACGTCCGCGGCTACTATGCGTGGTCGTTCATCGACAACTACGAGTGGGCCTTTGGCTACACGAAGCGGTTCGGTCTCCACTGGGTCAACTACGAGACGATGGAGCGCATGCCAAAGGCATCGGCGATCTGGTTCGGCCACGTCCTCCGCTCCAACTC